CTCCCGTTGTCACGGTGGTGTCACGTGATGTATCAGGGCTTCCCCCCTTGGCTAAACTGGGCGTGGGCGTGGCCAGCACGTGATGCATCTGGCCTATGGGCCGGGAGTTTGACAGCCCTACATTACAGGAATCCCCATGCAACTCTGAGAGGAAAAAGCAGGAGAGACCATGCATAAAATACACAAAAAGAAATACATTTAATAGTAATGTCTGAAGAGATTCTCAACCATCCAGGTCATGATTGTTCCAAAAGTGCTTTTTTCAAAAGGCAAATGAACTTTCTTGGGTTTTTCTTTTCTTTTTGACAACATTTCACTTCTCATCTTAAGAAGCTTCTTCAATTCTGAATTGAACTGAACTGAAGAAGCTTTCTGGATAAGAAGTAAAACATTTTCAAAGGGGGAAAAAATGAAGGAAGTCCCATTTACTTTTGAAAAAGCACTTCTGTGTTAAGTTTGTGTTTACTGTGTGATATCAGTATGTCACAAAATACCAAAGAGTCCACACAGGATCTCAGAAAAATATTAAACACAATCCCTGTGTAGAAAAAATACATAGTGAAGAATGTCCAGAGGCACGCAATGCTATTAAGACTTCTGCTATTAATAACTTCTCCAGAGTTTTCCTAAGAAATTTACTGCCGTTTTGGTAAACATTTTTTTTTAATTACAAACATTCAACCACCAGTCATCCAATTTTTTCTCATGGACAAATACTATATTATTTTTAGAGTGACTCTTGACTGATGCCTTTTGTTTATGTTGTATCAGAAAAGGATGGATTCTATAAGTTATATAAGTCTTCTACCCTATCGAAACAATTTTTACAAATAACAAATGAGAACACACAATAGCCATTGTTAGTGGCCTCTGTTTCTCCCCTCCCCCACATCTCTCTACAAATTGCAGTTGTAGATCCAGGTACATAATTTTCCAGTAGGTCCTAGGACAGGGGTCTCCAATCTTGGGAACTTTAAGCCTGGTGGACTTCAACTCCCAGAATTCCCCAGCCAGCTTGCAGAATTCTGGGCATTGAAGTCCACCAGGCTTAAAGTTCCCAAGGTTGGAGACTCCTGTCCTAGGATACTTCATGGCATCCTTAGACAAGTACTTGATCTTGTTCTGGACTTGACAGATTTCCTGACAATTACATTGTCAGAGTGCCTGTCGTGACATCTACAGAAAGTACTTGATGCGGAGGGATGTATGTGTATACTCCAACATAACCCTTTCCTCAAGTGATCCACGCATCTTCCTAGTTATTCATGATAGGAGGATCCTTTTGGAAAGTACTAAAGTGTCAGGATCTTCTCAATCTTACTATTTCTGCCAATAATTATGGTAGGCAGCAATATTTAACAAATAATTACTCAGTAAATGTCCCTTGATTGTTTATGCCAGAAACCTGGTATGGGTAGTCCTTGACTTATGTAGTTCATGTAGTGATAGTTTGAAAAAAAAAGAGACTTATGGCTGTTTTTCACACTTATGACTTGCAGCATCCCCTGTGGTCACATGATCAAAATTCGGGCACTTGACAACTGACTGGTATTTACAAGCAACGTCAGTGGAGAAGCCAGGTTCACTTAACAACCGTGTTACTAACCTAACAACTTCAGTGATTCACTTAACAACTGTGGCGAAAAAGGTCATCACTTAGCAACATGAATTTGGGGCTTAATTGTGGTTGTAAATCAAGTACTACCTGTATTTCCATAGTATCCACCAGATCTTGAGCCAACATTCTTGTTGAATGTGTGCTGAGGAATAATGTTGCAACCGCTAAAAATTTTCCCAAGTAAGATGTATCTTAAATTGTTCTACTAACAAATAACTCTCTAGTAACTTTGATATTGCTGAAAGTTTTACATGAAATGTGTCACAGCCTTTGTTATTGTTTCATGTCAGTGTGATTTTCCGCAGAGTTGGCAAGTCTAGTTGTTGTTAACATTTTCTGGAAAATACAGGATATCTGCTCCTGCTTCAGGAAGGAAGTAGAATTTTGGACTTAAAAGAAAGCTGCTAGTTTGCTTTTTTGCAGTATGTAGGCCATATTTATATTAACCGAGTGTTGCAAATAATCTTTGCATGTCTCCATGGAATTGCTTCTACTTCTCCATAGATGCTTTCAATGGGGCTTAATTCCTTGTACAGTGCTTAAAGTATGTGTGTCTGTGTGAGTGTGCAGCTTAGAGTCAGTTGTTGACTCCCGGTTTAGGCCACACGGTTTTCCTAAGGAGGGTTTTTGAAGTGGTTTGGAATTTTTTTTTTCCCAGGGCTAAGAGAGAGTAGCTGTCCCGAGGTAAGAAGGCTTTATGCCTAAGGCCAGATGCCTCAACCCCTGTACCAAACCGGTTCTCTTTAACAAATGTAGTAAACACATTTGAAGAGAATCTGGGGAGAATCTGAATGGTACTCAGACCACTTACTCAGTTTTTTCTTCCATGCCTCCTAGCCAAATACTGTTAGGGGTTTAGAATGTCCCCCTCCCATATCTCTTTGTGTCCTAAATTTCACAGAAGCCAAGGACATTTTATAAGCCCAAAATCCTTAAATGATATCAGTTTTAGGAAGCACAGGCTTTACATACTGTACCTATGGCAATTATTTCCATTGAGAGTAGCGAGGATGTTAGTAATTTTCTCTTTTTCCAATTAACTTTAAGAAAATGTATGCGGCATTTTTCTCCCTGGTATTTTCCTTTTCTTTTTTCTTCTTTAAGTTTGCCCTCTCATTACAGGCTCAGATTCCTATTATGACAACTTACAACTTATTTGTATAGTTTAACCTAATACTTTCTCTGCTCATGGATGACTAAATATTTTTAAATGGAGGAGTATCCACTTAAACTAATACTATTTACATTTCCACCTTTAAAAGCATGCAGGTTTTTTGGCAGATAAGACAATGATTATGATTGCATTTGTACCTGCATTTCACTTTTCATTTTTAAAGGACTTGTAATCCAAGTTTTATATTCAGAGTAAGTATTTATTTACCACTGGAATTGTTTGACATAATAATAATCTTAACACACTAACATATCTTAGCATAAACTTGCTGGTCAAGAATGTTCTTGAGTAGAAATTACTAAATACTGAGGATTAAATTGACATCGATCTCCAACCCAGTGAATCACCATTTTTAAATATTAGTCATTTCATTTCCTAATTGTGGTTTTTCCTTTTGGATTGGTGGTAGCATAGCACCTATGAAGTTACTGAGCACCTATTCACAAATGCAGTTTTCTGACTATTAGTACTTGGACTGCCATGTGTATTGTTACTTGTATGCTTCAGTGGATTGGCTTTTAGCCCAGTGGTGGATTTCAAAAAATTTACCGACCGGTTTGGTGTGAGTATGTGCTTCATGCGCGCAGTGTTTGTAACTCTACCTTCTGCTGCAAGCCCTGTGTGTAAAACAGCTGATGCACAGCAATCGGTTGTGCCGTGTGAAGCCGCTGAAGTTGAAAAGCAGGAAATAAAAGTCAGTATGGAGCCAGGGTAGGTGGGAGGGCCCAGCAGCAGATTGTCAGTGCAAACCGGTTTGCTCACAGATTATCGTTGGAGCTACCGATTCGGCCAAACTGGGCTGAACCGGTAGAACACCACCACTGCTTTAGCCCTTGATTGATTCTTGTGAACCAGATGACCATTGGGGCATGTAGGGAGGACAGGAACTGAGCTGGGAAGCAGACTGTCACCAGCGTATTGTTGGCATTCCTATGGAAGTGGTTTTAAGGCAAGGAGCAAACTCTTGCCAGCTGGCTGCCAACGCTTGGAGGGAGGTGGGGCTGAAATGGTAAGTGGGCTTTAATCTGTGAACGTTCAGGGCGTAGGGCAGATGACCTGATGGACCCCTACAGACTCACCTGGAAAATCAGTGGTGTCCCAATCTGCAAGCCAACTGGGAGCTTTCCAAGGTCCTGATTTTTGATGAAAGAGAAGTCCTTTAGAATTAATTATTTTATATGCAAAAGGCAAAAGAAAAACCCCACCCTTCACCAAAGCTCTCCTTTTTTTAAAAAAAACTATACTTACAAGCATATATTTATTACATTTATACTATTTAAAATTATTAACATTTAAGTTCAGTTTATTAATAAATTAGGGAGAATGGGGAATTAAGTGTATACAGTGGGTACCCAGCAGATGATGAAAGAATCTTCAAATAAGAACCTCAGTCATAAAATATTTGTACATAGGAAAAGGAGGTAAACACTTTTAAAACTTGCACACCTGGGTCACTGCTTCTCCACGTTTGCATTCCAGATTATGACAATACAGACAATACAAAAAAAGCAATACAGATGGTTCTTGCTTAATTGTGCTATTGGGACCTGAAACCTCATCATTAAGTGACATAGTCATAAATAAACAAAAACACACAACCGTCCCTGTGCAGCGATGGCAGTCCCAGCAGTACCAGTGACCATTGTTAAGCAAGGTCGTTAAGTATGGACTTCACATGACTGCGACTTGTGATTTCCTGCCAGCTTCCTCATTGACTTGCTTGTTGGAAGCCAGCAGGGAAGCTTGCAAATCACAATCACATGGGATGTCACAAGAATTATTAAGTACAGTGGGTCACGAATGCTCCTGTTCACGACCAAATCGGGTGGCGAACAAAAAATCCACCTGATTTTTGAATCCAGTCACGATTCAGAAATCGGGTGGTGAACAAAACCAGCGAAGAAAGATTCCCTTTCTGTGCTGATTTCCCCTTCGGTGCCTTTTTTTTTTTTTCCGGACTGCGTGCATGTGCAGTCGGTCGTGCTTCTGGACACGACCAAATCGAGTTGCAACCAGAGTCCAGGAACAGATTATGGTTGCGACCCGAGGCTCCATTGTACAAGGATTAATCCTAAGAACCACTTGTTCAGCACTTGTCATTAGTTCAACTGATCACTTGGCCCCCTTGCAAGAACCCCTTGCAATTTACCTGGCATTTTAAGGATAAGAACTTGCAAGGACTTTCTCTTTCTTCTCTTTGAATCACAGGTGTCCCCGGTGCCATGCCAAATGCAACATGGGAAGGTAACTTGAGAGCTGTGAAATGGAGCGATGCAGAAAAGAGTCACGGAGGATGCCATGGTAAAATGAACATCATTTTAATATTTATGTGGGGCTTTCTTTTTAGTATTTGAAAGATTAACACTGCCCTAACAATGTAGTATCTCATGAACTTGTTCTGACATTGTTTTTTTTTTTTTTGTTTACTATGGAGATTAAAGGGATTGTAGAAAAACATATTGAACATTGGTTGAAACATGCAGTGCATCAACCCAGAAGTGACCTGTGTTTGGAGAGATGGAGACTAGCAGGTTTAACAGCCTTGACAAAACAAAGTGACTGTAGGGTTTTGGCTCTCCTAGCATCAGGGACCTGCCATTTTGAGTTCTGCATGGGGCAGTACTTCCCCAGGCAAAGCCAATACATAATATGGGGGTCTTCCTAGGTCAAAGGTCTTCAAACTTGGCAAGTTTAAGACTTGTGGACTTCAACTCCCAGAATTCCTGAGCTAACATGACTGGAGGAGGAATTCTGGGAGTTGAAGTCCACAAGTTTTAAACTTGCCAAGTTTGAAGACCCCTGTCCTAGGTTGTTAGTTTCTGGTTAAAGAGCAGAGAATAGTTATGGCCAGAAGACCTTTGCCCAGATTCATTTGCTATCTCAATTGCACCCTTTCTTATACCCGGATTCCCTTTTTACAATCGCTCATGCCTTAAACATCTCACACTTGGACTATTGAAAAGCAGGCTTTGTGGGCTGCCCTTGAAGGCCAATTTGTGGGCCTCAGTTTATAAATGCCTCAGTATATGCATGTGATTGCTGTGCAAGATGCATTTGGTACCGGTGAACTTCTGGGGACAATTTAAGATACTGATAGTGCCTTATCATCGTCATTTTAATGGCATAGGTTACCTGGGGAACACCTTTCTCCCATTAACTCATTGTGCCCTGTAATCTCTGACAGAATAGGCATGTTCTGACACAACATCATCTAATAGGACTGAAGAAGCATCTCTTTTCTGGCCTGGCACCTGCCTTCAGAAATAATATTTCTCCAGAAGTTCAAATTGTCCCAACCCCATCTTCCTTAAAAGTCATTCATGAAGAACTAGCTCTTCCTCCACACCCTGGGAGGGGCCGCTGCTTTTATTGAAATGTTTTCCTGATCACGTCTTGTTCTTTTTAGTTTCCATTATTTTTATTTTGGTTTGGCCATCTAAATGGGCTTTAATTGTAAACTCCTGAGACTTCATCAACTTTGGTGGCTCGGTAAATTCGGCAAAATAAATAAATAATAATTAGGTTAATATACCAAAAAAACCCACACCCACTTGCATTCCCCTTGGTACTTTGTATACATGTAATGTGCATTAAGGTTTTTACAAACAATTCTGTGTTTAGCTGTCAGCACCCCGTTTTCCAAATATAACATGGACTTTTATAATTGCATAAATGCCAGATTTAAATTTGTAATCACAGCAATTTAAAAAACTCTCAAATACACATCCAAAACATCAGAATATGGGTTGACTGGAATGACAGGGATTATAATGTGTGGTCTGACTTATTTAAGCTGCAGAAATTTTAAGCAGTTAGGAAAGACAAAAAGACAAGAAATGGAGGTGGAGAGAGAAAAAATAAATAAAAAGAGGACCACCGGGAATTTATTAAAGAGGAGGAGAAAATGAATAAGACAGAAACTAAAGAATAGGTGGATAACAAAGGAGAAAATTGAAGCAGAATAATTTTTTAATGACTTCTTCACCTCAGGATGAGCTGATGTCTTGTTTTAATATGAGGGCATAGCCATTAGAACGGAAGCAGCCTTGGGGTATAAAAGTTGGGTGTATCTTAATTAATTTTCCTTTGTATTCAATGTTTTTAACCTGTGTTGCCTCTAATGACACAATGCTAAAATTATAAAGCAAAACTAACTTTTATTTATTTAATTAATTATTAAATGCTTTTATATGACTGCCCATCTCACTAAGCGTAACTCTGGGAGGTGTACAATCAAAGGATAAAACAATGCCACAACTGTTAAAACACTTAAAAATAAATAAAAACGAAATTGTGGGAGAGCATCCATTTAAACATAGGGCAACCATTAAGCAGGTTGCCCATCAGATCCCCAAAGTCGCTAAAAGAACCATGTTTTCAGGGCCTTCTGAAAGGCTAACCTCATGCTGCGGGTGGGGTGGGGGGGGAATGATACTTCTGATAGCAGAAGCCACAGCAGAAAAGGAACATTATCTGGCATCCATCAGATGTAACTCTTCAGCAGATGGGATCCACAACCTACTCCTCCGGCTGGACCTAATAGGATGGGTAGGTAAAAGAGTCCCTCGAATAATCTAGACCAGGGTGTCAAACTCAATTTCATTGAGGGCCTCATCAAGGTTATGTTTGACCTTGGGAGGGGCAGGAGGCATGGCTGGGGGAGCACGGCCAGCTTGACGTCACTCATCGCCTGAGGCCTGAGTACTCTACCAGTGAAAAGGGGCTCCCATGCTCCATTTTCATCTGCGATGGTCTCCTGCAGCCCTTTGCCAGCAAAAACGGACTTCACTCCACTTTTGCTGGTAAAGGGCCGTCGCAGCCAAAAACGGACCTGTCCCAAGCTCTGTTTTCGCTGGCAGAGGCACTGTGGGCCAGACTTTAGCTGTTTCCAGAGCAGCCCTACAGGCCTGATCTAAGCACCCCTTGGGCCAGATCTGGCCTACAGTTTGACACCCCTGCTGTAGGCCCATGTCATGTAGGGCTTTAAAGGTCAAAGCTCTTTCTAGTATATAATTAGAATAATCTTTAAAGTGTGTCTGTGTTTGAATAAAATTTAAAAGCTGTCAATAGAAGTGGCTTAAATAGCTTGTTTAATCTTTCAGTTAGTGAAAAACGGGAAAACCACATGGTCTTTTGTAGCTAAAATGTGCCTATTCTTCTAGACACACACCTGCTTGGAGTGGGAACTCTTTCTTTTTTTATTGTATTTTTTTCATTGCTTGGCTATAAATCACAAGTATAATTTTAGAGCAGTGTTGCTTGCTGGAACTCTCTCTGTCTGACTCAAGGATAAGGAGCAGCCCTTTAGTTGTGCTAAATTGTAAGTTAAATTACTAAGTTCTATTACCACAGTGTTGCACTCTTCCTTCAGTCTCTTCAGTCAGTTTTCGGTTTCAACAAAACCTTGTTAGCCACCCACAATCATTGGTAAAGTTCACAGCAAAATAAATTGAACAAACGAACAATTCAAGCATGCAACCTAATAAAAATTTTAGGGCCCACATGCTCCAAAGCTAATCTTTGATACTTATCTTGACTAAGGAGGAAAGGATATGATGTTCTATGCCTCTGTTTTCTTCAAATGTTATTAAAATTGCCAGAACTTCCTTATTTCAGTATGATTTGACTGCAAAGACCTTGGTGCAAGTATGCATCTTAATTCTTCTATCCACAAAATGTAATTGTAATATTGATCTTTTATGCCTTGATAGGTCATTATGTCAGAAGCATATGTATCTATGGAACTGGTGACTTGCCATGGCTGCTGAAATCCAAAAATTTATTTGCGAACAAATTTGAACTCAAAACATATCCACCTACTGTAGAATGCCTGGAATTGAAACTTCGGGAAAGAGTCTTGAATGAGAGTGAAATACCAGTTGAACCAAGTTGGTACTTTTAATTTAAAAAAAAAACTTATTGGGGAAAAAGGATAATAATAAAAACTGCTCCTTTTAGAACAACTTTTTTGCCTTGACGTGAGGCATTTTTTTGGATGTTCAAGATGGATAATTTTTTTTTAATACATGAAAAATCTTCGCATTTTACCGGACCTAAGGATTCTGCACCATCTTTGTATTTCACTGAGTTTTATTCCTTTTTTAAAAAATGCAGTTCCCATTTAGGAACAGGCTTCTCCTTTTCTTCCAATTATGTAAATTACTGTTTGCTCAGGAAATAAAAAATTCTGAATAATGAAGTTAAAATTATCTTGCTAACTGATGGTTCAAATGGAAGGATTAAGACGTTCATCATAGAAGATTCAGAGACGGCGGTTTATCTGCTAGCGCAGCTTGCTATCTGCACAACCTAAGTTTGGTTGTACCTGTTACTACTTGCTTCCGAATAGGTCAAATTCTTAGACTGTGCTTCTTCCATTATCTGCTTGTAGAAATGGCCTTCTGTACTACTGAAGAGCTATCCTTTTTAACAGCAGCAAAGCAACCTGTGAACCAGGGTAGGACACATGATCCAAAAACAGGGTAAAAGTGTATATTTTAAAGAGTAAAATATTCACTGGAAAAATGCATTAATATTACATCAATTGTATGTTTCTACTTCACTAAAGTTTTGCTTGGCTACTTAAGGATCCTAGAAATTGTGTAAATAAGAGCTTCTAGGTGTATAGAAATAATTTAAGATGGACCAACATTTTTTGATTTAGAAAACTATCACTGTCTTCAAAGCAAAAGTACTAACATGGTCTTTTATACTATCTGCTAGAAATTTGCCTTGGTGCATATGCTCTCAGTGTACATAAAAAGAAGAAGATAATCTGAAAGTCATTTTCATTATTCTTTAGGCAACCTTTCTGCATACAGTTTAAATTTCCATCCATCTACTATGGAAAATGTAAAGAAAGAAATAGCAATATATACTAAAAGTTTTAGGGTGAAAAGGAAAAAAAAACCCTCGAAAGTCAACTTTTTTTGGAGCAACACAGAAAAAAAACTTTTCTCTTAGGTTGAATGTTACAATTCTACCATGAAAGATATTTATGGCAATCGGTATACTAATAAAATATCTATCTTTGCAGCAGTCCTTTAATCATAATTTAATTTCAGTATCACTATTTCTATTAAAAATATCTTCTGTGTCCCCATTATTCTTTCTTAGTTGTTTTACTTTTGAGTGAAATGGAATTATTTTTTTCCCATAAAGACATGGGTTTGCCAACATTCAACTGATTGAAGGTTATTGACTGTGATTCTTTTTTAAAAAACAACATTCAGTTGGTTAAATTAATAAAATAGTATTTATCAAACACTATCCAGACATTGCCTTTGTGACAGATTGCTTACTACAGAACCTTAGGATATATAGAGCAATGAGGTTACAGATAACCATAATGTTTATGGCTGTGCATGCTTCAACAATGAGAAATGCCTTGGATCTACACAACTACAGTTTCCTTTGTTATTTATTAAATTAGCATAGCTTTTTCTACCCAAGCAAAAGGATGTGGATGCCGCTTTAAGAATCATCTTAATTTAAATAATCAGCCTCCTTATATAAGAGTAGATTTTTTTCCCCAGGACCACTGCAGGAGCATGTAAGGAGAAGGTATTTTCTTCAAGCTCCCTTTGAAACCCAATTGGGTCCATCAGTCATCCAGGGATGGACCACTCGAATGGGTCTGCAGAGGAGGAGGGGCAGCACAAGAGAATATCAGAGTCATGAGGTGTGATCTGACCAAGAACACCAAGCCCAAAGTTAGGCCACTGTCTTGAGTCAGGCCAAGAATGACCAGGGAAAGGCCCATAGCCATCATGGATGTCCTGGGCCACTTTGGAGTCTACCAAGGGACAGAAGTTGGAAGTCCCTCAGAAGAGTAAATCTGGGGAAGTTCATAGTCGGCCCCGAGATGGCTCCAGCAACTCAGGCAGGAAGGTTGTTACACAACAGGGAGGCTCCCAACTGCTCCCTTGACCCTAACCTCAAGAACAGGGTCTCACCACTGGCAACTTGTGGAGCAGGGCCCCTGATGGCTACCAGAGATTCTCAGGTGAATCCCTACCCACCTGCCCTGCCCTGCTCTGCCCTGGGGACTTGGCTGGTGCATTTGCTAGACCAATACTTGAATACAGCTCATCAGTCTGGAACCCATATCATGTATCTGATATTAACACAGTTGAGAAAGTCCTGAAATATTTCAAAAGAAGAGTTCTCCACTCCTTTACTTGTTGGAGAAAACTTTATGCCACCAGACTTGAAACGCTAGACCTAGAAAACCTTGAACTACGCCACCTCCAGTCCAATCTAAAGATAGTATATAAAATCATACATTGTAATGTCCTACCTGCAAATGAATACTTCAGCTTCAATCATAACAATACAAGAGCACACAATAGATACAAACTCAAGGTTAACCTCACCAAACTTGACTTCAGCAACAGAATGGTCAATGTTTGTAATACTCTACCTGACTGTGGTTTCTTCCCCAAACCCCAAAAACTTTCACCTTAGACTTGTCTACTATTGACCTTACCCCCTTCCTAAGAGGACTGTAGGGGGCGTGCATAAACATACCAATCATGCCTACTGTCCCTGTCCTTTTGTTGTTTTTTTTAATTTTTCTTTTAAGTTTCTATCTCATGTATTCAAAACTATTTATTCTTATATCTGTATCTTGTAAGCGATTGACAAAACAAATAAATACTAAAAAATACTAAAATACTAAAATACAATATTGCTGAGAGGGCAATACCCCCACCCACCCAGGCCCAGCCAAGTCTTGCTAATACATGCCAAGTCAGCCTGATCCTCATTTATGAGATCATTAATGAGGAACCTTATTATCAACCAACTTGGAATTAAGCAGCATCAATTGAAAACCCAGGGGTCTGTCAGGGCCTGAGCATGAGCACAGAAGACTGGAACACGCTCCCGATGTTAAGCACCAGGGGTGTCTTGTGTTCCCCATGTGCTGCCTGCCCTCTGGCTCTCATCAAAACACCTCCTGTCCAACACCATTTGGATGTCCCACCATCCCCCACCGGATCTACCTAGGCCTAGCCAGCTGGTTCCCTTACCTGAGAGGTCCTCCATCCCGAACATGCAACCCAGAGACTCACGGTCAACTTGGAATGTGTGCTTCAGCCTCGCTCTCAGCTCAGATGGGAGCCCTCAACACTAATTGCCCCTTTACCCAAGTGTGTCCCTCCTGACAAACTGTCTCACTGACTGATGGGAGGGCACCCAACTTGCTACTCCTCTTTTCCAGACTCTCACTCAGGGAAATAGTGGCCACTTATACAACCAGCTGCTCCATACATTTACCAGCAAGCACCCTCCATGTCTCGCCAGTAAGAGGAAGATCCACTTCTACCACACCAGAGGACACCCCTCTCCCAGCTCTGCTTTCTGCATGGGGCACACAGCCCCCATCCGGGTTGAAGTAAGTCTGTCTACCAATTAGCCCCTCTGTTGTTCCCTGGGCCAGTTATTCGGTGGCATTTCGGACTGGCCACACTCCCAGTTGCTTCTCTGGTGAGCCAAGAGCTCAGCTAGTTCACAGACTAATTGCAGCACCATTAATCAACTAACGATAATATATTGCAGACATTCTCAGAATTAAAACATTTAAAAGGCATGTTATTGAGGCAGGCAAAGAAGAGGTAGGAGGAACAAGGAGAATAGATGAGGAAGCAAGGAAAATTCAGTCTTTTAAAAGTCTCTCCAAAGAAGCAAGACTATTTATGCACAAAAATAGGAAGGACATTTCCAGTGGTGCTATTCTACCAGTTTGGCCCCGTTCTGGTGTACTGGTAGCGCCGAAGATCAGTAGGGACCGATCCGGTTCTCTCTGAGGAGCTGCTGTTTCGCCCACCCACTCACCAGGGTTCCCATACTGTCCTTTTTATTCCCTGCTTTTGAAGCGCAGCTGTTTTGTGCGGCACAGCAGATTGCTGCGCGTCAGCTGCTGAAGCGACAGGGAGAGTGTAGGATTGTGGGAGGTGAGTCGGAAAACCTCTGCGCGTGTGCAAAGTGCGCATTTGGTGCATGCATGCAAAGTGTGTACATGCACGCAAGGCACGCCCACTGAACCGGGGGTAAACTATTTTGAAATGCACCACTGGACACTTCGATTCCTAACATGGAGGAATGGCTGCAGAAGTTGATGCAGTTGGTTGAAGTGGCAAAATTGACCACTTTGATGAAAGAAAAGAACATAAGTACTTGTGTTTCCACATGGAGACCACTTCTGAACGTTGTGCTTGACATGGAAAAGAATGTAACTCTGACTTTGGGGTTTACAGATTAGACTGATAAATCTTTATAGAAATGGCTTGTTCATATTATTATGAAAAAGCAAAAAGCTGTGGTTTGGTGTGAATATCTTATTTTACTGCAACAGAGAGAGACGGAAGTCAGTGCTTCTTTTTCTTTCTTTTTTTCTTATCTTTCCTCACCTCTCCTTCCCCTTTCCCTTCCCACTGCTTTCCTATTTACTTTGTATTTTGTATTTTATATTATTTCATAACTCAATAAAAACATTAATGGGGAAAAAAAAATAAGATTCTCCGCAAAGAAAAAACAAAATGAAATTATTTGTAGATACCACACTGCAGCTCACGAGCTTCTTGGCCACTGCAGCCCTGGCCCCACAACAAGCTTTCGAGCCACAGCATGGCACAAAGTCAAACCCCAGCTCAGCCCAGCAACATGGCGCAAAGGGTTGGCACACCGTGGCTCTGGGGCCGCAGTGAGAACCCCCACATAAAACCCACCCCCACCCTGGACCAGCAGTACTGCACAGAAGGGTTACCCGGCACACCAGAGCTCTGGAGCTACAAGAAGCTTCTGAGCTGCGGTGCAGTAGGCAGCCTTTTGCAATATTTATTCAGGGTAAATTAATTACATCTGGTTTATTCGCCATTTACTGGATTCAGATAGCTCAGAAGTGACATATTATATTCCAAAGCAACAAATGATAAAAGGCAGATTGTACCCAG